TCTCTCTATCTCTCTCCTTCCTTATAAATCTTTTTATTTACCAAATATTCCAACATTATTTAAGAAAAAAAAAAAAAAAAAGAAGCAGCACCAGCGGCCATTTCTGTATTGAAAAGCAGTAATCCTCCAGTCTCTGTCTCAAATTCAAAAGTCGAGTACGTAATCTTTTTCTTAACCAGTTTATAAAGTATAAGTATTTGTATATATAGATATATATATATATATAGGGGTAGTTAATGAAGAGTTTAGTCAGAAGAACATGGCTTCTTTACTTTTCTAATTCTCTTCTTATATCTGTCGACAGTAGAACAAACTTAACACAGGACAAAAGAGTGAGATCATATGTATAGTTATATTCAATATTTATAGCAGTAGTTGTCGAAGTCTTTACTATTTGCCCATCTCTGTTATCAAATTGATTATACAGATAGAAAGACAGATATATATATATATATATGCAGTTTGCAGTGATCCTATGATCAAAAGAATGAAGAGGTTGGAATTGATGTCTTATGTAGAAAAGGTTTTTAGAAACTGTACTGTTGATGCTCTTGTGTAAATAGAATTTGAATGCAAATAATACTTTGGATCTTTTAGGTTGTAGGAGGATAGAATCATTTATTTGAATCCTGGATTGATCTCATAGTATAAGTAGGAATTAAATCATTTGTCAAGATGTGGAAAAGAAGCAATAAACTGGGATTTATCCAGACCAATTCTAGGCGCATTTGAGATGCAGCAGGATCTTCCTGTAAAGTTTGATGAATTTGATTGTGAAATCTAGTGCCAAAAAGAAGGAGATTACTTACTGCCAATAAATGTTTCAATATGGTGTACAAAGAATTCCAGAAAGCTTTTTTTTTTTTTTTTCCAATTGTTTGTAGGTTTTAACATTTTTCTTTGGCTATTTGTTGCATCCAAAGTCGTAAAATGTAATTGAATTGCTGTCTTACATACACGTACGTGTTTGTGTGTGTGTGTATCTATATATATATATATATATATATATATATATGGGTATGTGATGATTGATCGACATTAAATCCAGGGTGAAGTAATAAGGGATGTCATCAAGAATGAAAATAAAGGCAATTACAGTCCCAGATCAATACTGGTGGTGTAAGCATAGGCGGATGTTGAAGGGACAAATTAGTTTTCATCCCCAAGATTTGAACATGCCAACATTAATCAAGAGACCTTCTCAAGCTAAATGCTGCAGGGCACAAGCTGTTCTCACACCAGTTTCTGATCCACCCTCAACTACAAAAAAGGTACATATATACATACATACATACATATATATATATATATTTAATTTATTTATTTTTA